TATTGTCATAATCAATATCCAATATCAGTCTTATCACTGTCAGCTGCGATTTTTCTCATAATAGTCCAAGTGATTCTCTCTCTCTCCTTGTTTATGATTATAATATAATGGGTGTGTATTAACACATTTCATCAAGCCTCTTTCAATTATGAAATCCATTATTATTGCTATTCTTGCCTGCATTCTGATTTATGTATCAGCCATTGATGACAAATGTTTAAGTTGTATTTGTAAAATTGAATCCAATTGTCAACCACTTGGATGTAAATGGGATGTTAATTCAAATTCATGTGGCTATTATCAATTGAAAAAAGCATATTGGCTCGATTGTGGTAGCCCCGGTGGTGGTTGGGAGACATGTTCAGCGAATAAAGCCTGTGCCGACGGTTGTGTTCGAAAATATATGACACGTTATGCTAAGAAATGTGTTGGTAGTCGAACACCTACTTGTCAAGATTTTGCAAGAATTCATAATGGTGGACCAACAGGATGTACAAAAGCGGCTACTGTTGGCTATTGGAACAAGGTCAATGCATGTTATAAATCTGGTTGAGAAAGTCATACATTTTTCAGAAAACCAATCTGAGTTTCTTTATTTATTTACACAATTGTGTATAGAATATACCTGACGAAATTTGTTAATAGCACCTGTCTTTCATAAAAAAATACATTACATATGATAATGGAGATTGCACGATTCTACTCAAAAGTAACAAATATATTACATATTACATAACAAAAGTAGTGAGTCTTTTGCATGAAGTTTCACATGTTGCTGAACATATACAGTACAAACGCCTGAACAAGAGCATTTCTAAGAACATTTCTGCGTTTATCTATAACAATTACAATCATAAATACAGTATCCTTTAATCTTTGAAACATGCAATCGTTAAATTAACGTGACGTATAAAACAACATGTTTTGTAACTGCAAAGTATTGAGAAAAACACCACATTCCACTATACCCCTATGCTCTTTGTAATTTTGTTTCTCTGCTTTTGATTAATGCATCGTAGTTAAAAGAGAAGAATCCTAAACTATAATTGTATCAAGAGCACAAGTAATCCGTACGAACATTGCAAAGACGTAAAAGAACAAACGCATCACACTGCTGTACATGCCATTGAATGTTCATTGTGCTAAAACGTCTACAGCTCAACATGCAACATAAATGTCTTATGTTCTCTCTTTTCTTTTCCTAAATGTATTTAGTTTAATAACAAAGCTTAAAAGGCAACATAAATTAGCATAGAGCAAGCGAAACCGAGTCTGAATCGATTTCATTCAGATTGTTAAGAGTCGAATGAATTTATCTAAGAAATGTTGTACAAAAAGATGTTACTCAGAAATTGTATTTTCAAGACTAAAAGTGAAATATTTTGGTCGGAAAATTTTATTAAAATACTGATCCACAGAGGTAGTCTTAAAATGTGTACGATGAGAATCGCTCCGTTTGTAAAAACAAAACGAAAGTAACTGTCACTGTCTTAATGTCGGATATTTGTAATAGAAAAAGCATAACAACAGCAGTAGTGTGAATCATTTTATTTTATTTTAAATTCCGACGTTTCGATTTATTAAAAAATCATTGTCAAGGATATAAAATACAAGGTCTAAATATAGTGGGATAAATTGTATATATACATGTTGCGCAGTTCTTGTACTTTCTATTCTTTTCTTACTATCTTTTTCATTTTACTTTCTAACCCGGATATTTTTGTTTTACTAGTTTAAGTTGTTATCGTCACACATAACGTTTTATTTAATAGGTCGGCGCTTTTTGGGAACGCAGCAAAAATGA